CCAATAAGAAATAACCAAACACAACATACCATTAATCTGCGTCTTTTTGCTTTTTATCATTTCTATTTTGATCTCTGACGAAGCTTTAATAAAGTGAAACATGTTAGATTAAAATCTGTTTCCTACTTGTTCTTTATCATATATATAATATATATATTTTTCATTTTTTTTCATTTTTTGTTTGGAAGTAAAGTCTGATGATCCGCAGTCCTTTAAAAGGGATGTAGTGAAATAATTTATTACATGGAACTTTAAAGTGATCTGTTTTTATTTAATTTATTTGCTCAGGATTTACATTGAGCTCTCTGGATTTTATCCTCCTTAGGCTTACCCATACGGATTATGGAGTAATCGACAGCGGCTTGGATTGAGGAATCGGGGAGCCGAGTTCGAATTCCAGTCGAATCCATTACATTCACTTACGTGCTAATACCCTTGGGAAAGGTGTGAATCCTCTTCTTCTCCCTCCAGCTATGGGTAAATAGCAGGACAGACTGGGTTCTATAGCCTTGGATTGGCAACTGGTCTAGGAGAAGGGCAACTCTGAATTCAAAACCTGCGGCGGGTCGTTTGGGGACCTTTGGGACCTTGTGGCACCTAGTGCACCAGGTCTCTGTATTCGGCCCTTCAAAAAGTGTGGATGGTCCTGCACGTAACCTTCACCACTATAATCAAATCTCATGTTTGCTGTTGTCGAGCTGTCGGTTTCCTGGAAACTGATCTGCTTGACCCTCATACGTCGAATTCGACGGGAGAGTCGTATATATATATATATATATATATATATATATATATATATATATATATATATATATATATATACGTTTCATTAAATAATATAGACAAGTGTTGTCTATTTATTTTATGTAAAATTTTACATAAAATAAATAGACAACACTTGTCTATATTATTTAATGAAACGTGTATAAATGAAAATATGCTGCCTAAATACACACAATATATATATATATATATATATATATATATATATATATATATATATATATATATATACTCTCAAGTAGATCAGAAATATACACCGACTTCATGAAGAGACAAAGCAGCGGCAGCATCAGTAAAAACAGATGAATCATACCGAAACTTGTTCATTTTGCAATTCCCAAGGAAAAGATACCGGACGTGACAGTATAACTAAATGGACCAAAGAAAAGATTCAACATTGTGGAAAGCCTAAGATAGACACTCCAAAAAGGGAGCATCATTTGCTGAAACGTAAGGATGAAGATAACAAAAATAAAGAAACAATATATAATACTAAGGGTACTCATCTCAGATAATTCAAATAGAAAGAAGACCAAATGGCACAGCAACTTAAACCGTTATGATAAAAAGAATAAAGATAAGGAAACTGGTATAAAAGGCATAAATAGATAATAATCTCAGAAATTTAGACGAATATATCCAGATATGATTCTTTTTGTTTAGTTATTGAAACCAATAGTTTTAGTTTTAGTTAATCATGGCAAAAGCTAATAAAACTACGTTACGTTATATCACATAATATTTAGCCAATTATAATAATCTTTTATTCACTGCAATTCAACGCTTTTTCAAACTGAACTGCAGTTTATGATCAAAGCTGATAAGAATCGGGATCATGAAAAAAACTTATGTTACATTAATCTAATAACTACCATTTAATGTTCCAAATTTAAAAGAAGGTGAAAAGAAAGATTCAGAGAGATTTATCTATGATCCTTTCCGATGCGTAAAGAAGAAATTATCTTCTTTTTTGGTGGTGGGGGTGGGTGAATGCAGTTTTGTGGCTTCTGGTATGCAAGAAACAGGTATGGTAATTTCTAAACTGGGATTTTATTCTTAGTTTTGAGTAGCAAAATTGTGACATTAAAACTTGAATACTTTAGAGATGATTGCACTTTTTAAAAAAAATCAAATTGGCATACTACTTTGAACATTTTTACGCCATCGTGCGTTGCAGCGATAGATACATTTTTGAGTTATACGTAAAAAGACAACTTAGCTAAATAGATATATATGAACAGACTGTAATAGATAGATAGATAGATAGATAGATAGATAGATAGATAGATAGATAGATAGGAAAAGAATACGATAGATATGATGTTAAATAATCGTTTTCACATTAATGCTACCAATCCAAAATGTAAAAGCTGTTCATTCCCACGCGTAAACGTTTAAAAAAATACAAATACAAAACAAATAGATACGCACACACGCACATTCAGAGTAAACATCAGAATCCGTTTTATTATTGGAATTTTTATGATCTGTCGGATTATATCGATCGTTTTGGCCTACTTGAAAATTGTCAGCCTTTTTTTCTGAACACGAATCATTTGAATAATATTCCGATGTGAAGATTCAAATTCAACTCTCATCAATCAAGAATCGCTCTTCAACTTGAATAGCAATTGTTGTCATAAGTAAAGAAATAAAGATCAAAATTTAAACGGGCTTATGTTCAAATATAATTGTCCTTTTTCTTCTTCTTTTTCCAGCACGTAAGGTAACTGCGAAAAATACACGAAGCGTCAAATATGTTAAGTTCAATGGTTAAAACAAGGAATCAGTAATCATGAGGCCTGGTGAGTCATCCCAAGAACCTGATAGGCAATACCTATAGCAAGTCCGGCAGCCATGCAACTGAGGTCCACGACTACAAGCAGACATGTAGATACATAAATTACCACTAAATATCAATTGCAGAGAACATTTTTATGATCTTGTTAGCAATATCAAGTAATTAGTTAATTAGCAAATATACATATTACACCTTACAACTATAACAATTATTAATTTATTTCCATAAATTCAAATACACAAAGAAAGAACGAAAATAACCTCCTCTACAAACTAAATGCGCAAAAATCTCTTTATTCGTCACAAATTAGGAAGATTTCAGATTATATTACAGAAATAATGAGTCAATTTGTTTATACTAACTGATTAAAATCGTAGAAACGATAACTGTAAAATATTAATATAATCAGAAAGCTAGTTCAACATTTAAAAAATCATGTATCAATAAATAAAAATCAACTGACTGAATGGATATCATTTTTATCATGTTCACTACTTGAAAAAAGTATATTCTTAATATTTTATTTAATATTATGTCCTTATGAGAATTGTATAAAAACTTAATAAATAAAATTTTAAGATAATTTCAAAGCTTTTAGTGCTGCTTCTTGAGTTGCCTTATAAGAATCAAACAGACATTTTTCAAAATATACTTGACAATACAACTGCGTGCAAATTTATATTTTTCTTGTATTTACGAAGGACAGAAAAAATCAAAATTCAACATACTTTTAAAAATACCTGTTAGAAATAAAAACAAATTATTCATAAAAATAAAGTTTATAATCAAAGTATTTATTGTTATAAAAAAATACATTTTTTTTCACTTTCATATCAAAAAAGTTTCTTTAACACGAAAGCAAATTCAAGAAAATAAAACAAATGAATCTCATAGATATTTCAGAGTTTTAAATAATAAACCTAAGTTAATCCAAAGGTTTTTAAAAAGACTAAATTGTAAGTTATGTATCAACATATCTGCCACCAGTCGTGAACCCCATTCACATGGCTGGCAGGCCATTTGTAGGTATCATCTTGGTCAGTTTGTAATCACATGATAAATGAAGTTGTCAATAATCGCATAAGCAAACTGTTTTTAATGAGTTGAGTTTGATTCAAACAGATAAAATCTTTACTTTCCCCGAATGCATGATATGCTTTCTTTACTAACAATCTTCATAGGTAGAATCAGTTGTAATATTATTGGAATTACTTTATTGTCCATTATTAATGATATTTTAATTATATTTCTTTTATCTTATGCCTATCATTTTTTAAATACGAATAAAAATTACTAATAAATCACAAAACTTAATCTGATAAATTTAAATAATATAACACTTCATACTCTTAGTGCAAAATATGAACAAAATAGATAGATGGTATTTTAGACGTGTGGAAAAACATTTAAAACAAAGGCTATATGGCAAGATTTTAATAACTTTGACGCCAAATCGGCAAGGCCACGACCACGGAAAGGGAAATTCTTCAGTTTAAGGGACGTGATTTCGAATCAGGTCGAGAGATTGTTCATTATTTCCGATTCGCACTGCTTACTAAACACCATAGATTGATGATTTGAGATTTATAATAAAAAGCAATGGAAGGAAAAAAAATACGAATTAAAATTATGATTATTGACAATATTTCATGTAAATAATATTAAAAAAAGAAAAAGTGCAATAAGTTTAAATATTATGTATTCAATTTGCTGTGATATTAGAGGTTAATGCGTTTGTTAACCATTATTATTATTATTATTATTAGTGAATAATTTATTTTCATCTTCATTTGTACTTGATTTTATTTCAATTTTCTCGGGTAGGCAACGGTATAAAGTAATTAAAAATAAAGATAAAAGAAAATACGATATTTTACTTGCATAGTAATAAACATATTGGATTAGTAAATGTTTCAATCTTATTTTTGGACACATTTTGCATATGATGAATAAAACAAATTACTTTTTATCATCATTAAGCTACAGACAAATTGATTTTATCTGCATATATATAATTATTCATCAAGTTTAGTAAGAATTGATCCAAACAGCATAGTTGTGAGCATCTTGCGCTTTGGTCTGGGACACAAACTTGTTAATAAATGTGTTTCAGTAAATACCTCCATACTCACTTTCTCTCTCTCTTCATATATATGTGTGTGTGTGTGTGTGTGTGTGTGTGTGTGCGCGCACACACACACACACACACATATGCATATAGACATATATTGTCATGGACTCTCATCTAATTTTATTCTAAAATCAAAACTAAAGTTTATATTTTAGAAGTACTCTGAATGAGGAGCCAGTACTTGCAGAAAGCGTGAAAATGAAAAAGAAATAAAGTGAAATTGACAATTAACGGTTCTTGATCAAACTTGAATGCATCCGAGCAAAGGTTTTCTATGAAAAGTACACTTTCTCCTTCTTGGTCACATGATAGCGTGATGATTGAACTGGATACTATCCAGACATTAAAGCAAACTTGAACCCTGAGATACAACAGAAAAAGGAAAAGGGTCAGTGAACTCTTTTCGCCCACACATGTAAGAATCCATATTTGGAAGTCATGGGTCACGTGCCAAAATCGAGACGCGAAAATAAAGACCGCCACCAAGTCAGTCTTCAGAATTCAAACTGAATAGGCATCCAGCTAAACTTGCGATGATCTGCTATAAATTTGGATGTGCGGAATTGATAGAAATCTGTTAAGGTTTCTGGGATGAAAAGCTTCAGTAAAGGGTTAATTCAAAGAAATCAAACCCCGGCGTGCTAAAAGAAGCAGATACAACCAATTATTATCCTGAGAGCCAAGGAAAAGAAAGATTCAACTTATTCTTCACTCAACCCCTGGACAAGACGAAAAAGAAAAAGAAAGAAAGGAAACTAGAAAGAAATCCATTTCACATGTAAACTTTTTACCCAGCAAGGAGAAGAAAAAAGAGAGAAGATAAAAAGAAATAGAAAAGAAAAGAGAAATATATAAGAGACACTAAAAGAAAAAGAAGAGAAAAAGAAAAAGAAGGACTTTTTCAAATAACAGATAAATCCTTTGTTTCTATTGCCTGTTTTATCTTTGCTCATTTGGCCTTTATGCTGTTTGTAATTTCATGCAAGTTTGGGACAAGATCGTTCGTCAATATAATATTTACCTTTCTGAAAAGGTAAGTTCTCCCCGACCCATTGTTTTGTCCCGTGATATTTATTTTTGTCTCATTGTTTTGTTTAGCCCAGTCTTTCATTTTTTAATATGCCCCAACAAATTTAATCCCCATTTGTATATTTTAGTAATAAAATGGTGATTTGTTATCACTATATCTTTGCCTTCTGTTGTTTGTCACCTATCGTATTTGTTCGTTAATTGATTCCATTTAGCTCGGCCGTATTTGATCAATCAGGAATGTTATATTATATGTTACTATGCCTCCTACTACTACCATAACAGTAAAAAAGGGTTGTACGTACATACACACACACACACACATATATATATATATATATATATATATATATATATATATATATATATATATATACCAATTCTTTAAAATTTGGCATATTTATGGAAGAAGAGTCCTCAGTATCGGAGATTGAGCCTTTATAGATATCGACATTGTATGTAATTGTGTATTTAGGCAGTAATCCCTCTTTTATAAAATTTTCGTTAAAATTGACCGACATGGTTATGCTTCTTCTCACATTTTATTATGATCTGGACATAAATTATGTAGCGATTATCAAGGATGATTTTATTTTACTTTTATGTATGGATTTTTTATGTCTGTATCTAGAGTTATAGGAATATTTTATTTTCCAAACACGGTCTGCACATTGTGTTTATATATATATATATATATATATATATATATATATATATATATATATATATATATATATATATATATATATGTGTGTGTGTGTGTGTGTGTGTGTGTGTGTGTGTAACAATAATAATAAAGACATTGTTTTACCACAAGTACAATCGACTATTCCGGAAGACAACACTTTCATGGCAAGTAGTACTTGCAAATACAAAGCTCACTATCAACTGGTAGCAGAATAATAATTATTAATAATAAAATAGTTCACGTAATTAAATGCGTACTCAGAGTTTCATGGATTTTCTGTAAATTTTTGGTATTTGCTGAACTATGATTTTAACGTTTTTAAACACGTTTAGTTCACACGAAAATCTGCTGATGGTTGATTTAAAGAAATCCATGAAACTCTAAGTACGAGTTTAAATAAGTGAATTATTTTATTTTGTTAATAATTATATACGCGTGACGTGCTAAACAAACCTTTAGAGAATTTGAACCGAATTTTCCAATAAACTTTAGGAGCTATACGCTGTTCGAGCCAGAGATTCAAGAAACGTTTCATCAATTTTTGTCGAACAATTTTAAACCAAACATAGGCTTGTTAGTGACGTTTGGAGGCCGGTCATGTAATGTATCAGTTCAAGATTATGAGCTTTCTTTTCAGCAAAACGCAAGAAAAATGCGAAATAAACTCATGAACCGTCATTGAAAAAACCCACACAATTTGCTGCAGAAATGGTGAACGCTTTTTGCAACAGTCTAGGAATTCACCGATAGCTCCTTGTAAAGTTGCAAGAATTCATTCAAACAAGTTTTATTGAAATGACAAATTCTGCTCGTTTAATTTTTTTACTTCACTTTTCAAGTTTGCATATAAGTTGTTTCACATCCAGATCAGATGCTTGAGTTCGAGTGCTTTGGGCATCTCTTTTCATTATCAGGCACGTTAATACTATCCCTTACAGTAAGGAATAGTTTACATTACATTCACTCTGACATTATTCAAGAAAATGCTGAAAAATCCTTGGCCTGAAAAAGCAATTTATTTTTTTTTTAAATTCCATTTATTCATTTACTCAGATTTTGGGAAGGCGGTTCATTCAAGTACTTTTCTGTACCACGTCGAATATAGGAAATGCAAAAGTAGGTATACAGTTTTTAAAACCTGCACATGATTATATAATTACTATGTATTTCTCATACTAACAACTGTATATTGATTTTTTGCACCCTGTTGAATTTGTAAACAAATACAATATTTAATTTGGCTCATGATGCATACGTTTTCTTGGAACAAAATGTTAAATATATTTTAAATCAGTACTACGTAAAGGAGCCACCATTTGATTATTAATCGTTTGTTTAGCTTAGTACTTCCACCAACTATTGTGTTTTTAATACCTGTCTGCTTCTTAGAATTACTGTCTCTATAGAATATCAATATTTTGCTATATCACTTTGTAATCGACAAGAGTTGATGAACAAAAATCATAAATGTCACAATGAATGCATGGAGATATTGCAGTCAAGGTTTTCTTTTCTTTATTTTCTTGAATTTTTATATTTTTCAGCTTTCTCTTGCCTCAATACGGATAGGTGATGTTGTTTAACATTACCATTAACTTTTGCTTTGATTCAGTAGAGAAGGAATACTCTTTCAATAATTATCAGTAATATGTCACATTTTTTTACAATAAAAAAAAATATGTTACATTCATTTCAATTCCCTTCTCACAATTTCCTATAGGCTGAAAGAGTTGCAAAACCATTTCTTGTTGAATTAACAGTGATTAGGATGGATGGATGAGTGTATAGATAGATAGATAGATAGATAGATAGATAGATAGATAGATAACACTATAAATGGACTGCTAGATTCAAAACGACTCATTATTTGATGTTGTCAGTATAGGTTTACGTAGGTGTTATGGCCCAGGTTAGGACAAAGGAAGAACAACACGAACACAAGAGTAGAAATAACGAAGGTATATTACACAAAATAATAATACAAGATATGGAAGGTGTTAGTATGACTGTCAGTCTGGTTTGGAGTGAACTACTATCGGCTCGACTCGATTCGGTATCTAGCCATCCCCCACGAGGGTTGCATATGGCACAAGGCCGAGTTTAACGTGGGTTCGGCCTAAAAATGCCCGTAGAACCCGTATAAATTGGATCAGGTTGATCAACCTCCCCGGACGAGGCTCCGCCGAAGGGCAGAGTCTCGTCCGGGTTCCTCTCTGCTCAGAGGCAGAGAGTTCGACCGTCAAATTGAGAAGCTCGACTCGATTCGGTATCTAGCCACCCACCACGAGGGTTGCATGTGGCACAAGGCCGAGTTTAACGTGGGTTTCCCGAGCCCATAGGCTCGGCCAAAAAATGCCCGTAGAAACGGGATCGGGTTGGTCAACCTCCCCAAACGAGACTCTGCCCTTCGGCGGAGCCTCATCCGGGTTCCTCTCTGCTCAGAGGCAGAGAGTTCGGCCGTCAAATCGAGAAGCTCGACTCGATTCGACCCTCTCTCTTGAGAGGCGTAGTATACATAGTGTTAGGAAGAGTTCATTCTGTAGTTATAGGTAAGGAACCATGACAGTAGGTGTATATTATATTATATTAATTAGCATTGTCATTCTCTCTATTCTACATCTGTATTAATTCGTAGAACACAAAATGTTGTCATGATTCCTGATTTGTTACTATCTCCAGAGAAATTATGCGTACATCATGATATTGTAAATCTAGAATTGGTGTTGTTGTAGCTTAGATGATATATTTAACAAATAACATATATGTGCAACGAGACATTTCTATGTGTTCAGTCCTGGGTCCAACCTTCAGCAACTTCTGCATGGCCAACCTAGAAAATAATATATTTAGCACTACCAAAAAACCCTTCATCCACCTAAGATATGTAGATGATATTTTTATTTTAGTTAAAAACAGACGAAATACTTGAACTGCAAAAAGGTATTTGCAAATAATTTTTCATAATAAATCGACTGAATACATACTTGTAAACCGATTCTGGGCGTTTTGTATTCAGTTCTGTGTTCATTTATCCTGCATGGAAAGAGCAAAATAGATAAAGAAAAACGAAGACAGCAAACACGACACAAGTACGACGCTATATATTATTCCTTCATCAGCTAAGCAAGACAGCAGCAGAAGCAATTGATTAAATCTATGAAAATAGTTCGGTTGGATGTAGTATAAGTCGTGAATGATTTGCGAAACTCAAGGTGAATTTAACAAACTAAACTGAAATTGGCTGAAAAACCTTGTTCCGATCACTCAATAGTAATAAACCATTTTTAAAATATGGGCAGAAAATGTGTTCCACATGAATTGCTAGAGAGAGAAGCATTGGACAACGTCTTACTATATATATTTCACTTCTTGCCAGACAATAAGAATTCTTCTTCGTGGAAGAATATCACTTGGGATCAAACGTGGCTTCATTACAATAATCAGAACTGTCAAAAGTCACAAGTGAATCCAGAAAAGCCTTAAGCATCAACAGCAAAATTTAAGCTTTAGTGAGGTAAAAAAAAAAAAAGTAATTATTTTGTATTTGTGGGATATGAAAATCGTATTTTATTACGAATTGCTTAAACCTTGTGAACTCTTACTGCACAGCATTACAGTTGTCACGTTCGAAGTGTGAGAAATGTAATTGAAGAAAAAAAAGGTAATTTACCGGATAAGGAATCTAGTAAATCCTATGACAGTGCTCACAAAAACGTTGCTTTGGCGATCAGAAATATAAAATATAAACATAATCGTTTTAGAACGGGAAAAATTTTCTCTCGCAACATATTCACCAGACTTGGAGCAATCGGATTTTCCTTTGTTTCGATCAATACAACATTGCTGTTAAGATCATAAACTTAAAGATGTCTTTGATGTACAAAATTTCAATGATAACTTTATTGCCTTGAAGCTACAGTAAGATGGAATTTGAAAACTTCTGAAACGTTGGTGGAAAATCATAGAAATTCAAGGAAAATATATCCATGGTTAATAAATGCACTTACTACCCACTTAAATACACTTATGCAAATTTCCAATCAGCCAATGACGTGGCAGCAATTTAATACTGGCTATAAACATTTAAACATGGTCATGGCCACCTGCTGAATTTCCTACATTAGTATTGGAAAATAAGGTGATTTAAGAGACTTTAAACGCGGTCTGGTCATTGGTGCCAGACGAGATGGTCTGCGTATTTCATCGTGACAGATTGGTCAGTGGGTCATAGCAACGAGCTTTTTGTACTAAAGTCGTGTCCACATTCAGGGGATATCAATTCCATAGGACACATTTTGGATATGGTAGAAAGGGAGATTGGAACCCTTGATGTGCAGTCAACCAATTTCGAACAATTGCAGGATGTCATAATAACATCATGGACACATATTCCGAAAGAGTACTTCCGGAACAACGTCGATTCCATCCCAAGAAGAATTGAAGCCGTTCTAAAGGTAAAAGGAAGTCGATTGATTGTTTTGTTTTTGACGCCTTATCAACTCTTTGCAGGTTCTTTAAAGCCAGAAATATTTCTAGATTCCAAGAACTTTTTGAAGATGGCAATGATTTTTATCGATATAATTCTACTAATTAACCCATAGCTGAGAGAAGAGATGGATTCATACCTTTCACAAGAGTATTTGCGCGTAAGTAAATATAACGAATCCAATTGAAATTGAAATTCGGCTCTCCGATTAGCAATTCTGAGCTATTATCCATTACACCACCCTAACATCCAAGCTTACAGCACCTGGTATTCCCAAGCGGTCACCCATTTAGGTACTGACAAGGATCGACGTTGCTTAACTTCCATAATCGTATGAGAACCGGTGTTTCTACGTGATATGGCCTTAAGCCAAAAGGAACCTGGTACTAGAAGAGTATATTTAATAAAGACACAGGTGAATGTATATGTACCAGTTATTAATTCATTCTAATTTTAAAAAAAAAGAAAAACACTAGAAACTTGTGTACATACCAAATAATTACCTCATTAGGAGATGCCGGATTATGTAACGGTTACCAGCATGAAAAGTGGAAACAATGAACCAATTTCGACTTTCAGTTGAGATTGCTTATAATGATCTGACAGTTAGAGGAAGAAGTGAATTCATGCCTTTTTCTGTCTGCTCTTTCTCATCTCCGGATATCTTGAAACAAAATGTTTCGTCACTAACATGCTATAATGGTTGACAAAGAAAACTTGCATGAGTGAACACTTAGGAAAAACGCCACATTGCTTAATCATACAAGACCTTACTTGACAATGACGAACCAATCGATTTGCCTTATGATTTAGTCCTGCTTTTAATTTTATAAGCAAATAAAATAGGTTCATATAGTTTTTCTGGTCATTGTATTGCTTTGTTTGAACTAATTATCTCATCTTTCGTCAATCTACTGTTTCAACTTCTCGGCCGCTTTACACTCCGGACTTCCTCAGTACGGCTGTTACGACGAAGAATGACTGAAACGCTGTAACAAAAAGGCAACGAAAGAGAATTAGCTTGTACAAATCAATACAATGTTCATTATAATATTTAAGTCATACAATTCTCTATGGAGTAGAGATTATTACAGAACCTAGCATCATTTGTCAACCTGAAACATTTTGACAATGTGAGAGAGTGCATATTTAACTAAAGGAGACGAGAAAAGAAATTATAAATTGCGTTTCTTTGCAGGAGAAAACATTTCTCCCGGGACATTGCATAGCAAACTGAAAAATGAAACTCTCTTGTGTATTAACTACAAAAGGAAAAGTGTGTTTTTTTAACTCTCACTTACGTACTAATGGTATTTAATTCCTCAACATCTTTATAGCCCAGATCATCAGAGAACCTACCCGTATCCCGGAAACGACGATACATCAGGCGAACCTCCTCGACCTCTTCCTAACCTCCGGTTCTGATAAATGCGTATCAAAAGTTTTACCTCCACTGGGCACGTCAGATCATTCCCTAATCACTGAGCAGATTGATACTAAACCTAAGGTATCCCCTGATGTACCGTTTCATAGAAAGATTTTTCGCTATGCGAAAGCAGAATGGAACAGCTTTCGATCTTATACTGTTGTAGGGCTCTCCCCTTTTTACATAAGATGGACTCGTCCAAAGAATACTTATACTGACAGAGAGAATACCTGCTGTTGAGATACAGCCTCGACGTCTGTCGAACTCTCTGCTTTGCCAGAGAGGAACTCGGACGAAGCTTTGCCGAAGGGCAAGGTTTCGTCCGGGGAGGTAGACAGCCCCTGAACCCGTCTAGGCGGGTTCAAAGGGTATATTTATGGCCGAGCCTACGGGCTCGGAGAAACCCACTTTAAACTCAGCCTTGTGCCACATATATTCCTCGTGGGTGGGATATTAAATACCGAGATACGTGAAGACAGGTTGAGAGATACGGAGGCAGACACAGGGTGTTCTCAGAGAGTTATACAAGAGTCCAGAGAGAGAGAGAGAGACAGACAGACAGACAGAGAGAGAGACAGACACAGAGAGAGAGAGAGAGAATTACGGCTTTACTTACAGAGACTTGTACATATACTTTCTACTAACCCGCATTCCTGGACTACTAATCTTCACTTCCAGTCTGTATTCTTACGTTTAGTACACTTATTTTTCTATCTCGATTTCTGGCGTTGTTTATTTATTTGTGCAGGATTCCATTCACGGAATCCACAACATATATGATGGAAGCTCCCCTCCCAACCTTTTTCAAGAATGCTGCATCTAAAACTGCTGCCTTTGTCACTGATTGGATCCTTTCTGGAATGGAAAGTTTTATACTCCACCAAAAATTCCACCAAAAACCAGTCAACCCTGGTTCACCTCCGAATGTGCTTCAGCCATAACTCACCGAAATCATTACTTCAATATCTATCGTAAGGAGCGAAGTAGTTCTGCCCTTACTGCATTCAGTACTGACTGCAATCGCTGCAAAAAAAGTTCTAGAAAACGCCAAGTGAAGCTACGCTCGAGCAGTCCAGACCAAGGTTGAAAAGAAAAACTTGATCCCTTGGATTCTGGAAAATCACCAACCAAATCATGATCAGAGGTAATGGAGCTTTGCCCACAATTATAAATGGATCCGAGATCATATCTTCCTCGCCAGATAAGGCGAACCTCTTCGCCTCCATCTTTGCCTCTAACTCAACGTTAAATGACAAATACCAGCCCCTCCCCAAATTCCCACGTCTTACTGAGCCCACTCTCAATAATATTACCACCAGAGCATGAGAAGTCTCTAGACTTATCAAAAGCCTTGACCTTAAGAAAGCCATTGGTCCAGACAAAATTCCAGCGGGTGTCTTTATGGACATCAACCCGGAATTATCCACAATCCTAGCAATATTATTCAACCTTTGCTTAAAGGAGAAATCCTTCCCAAACCTGTGGAAAGTGTCAAGCGTATGCCCGGTTTTCAAGAACGTGGGTGTGCGATCTAACAGAAGGTTGTTATCAATGTTATCAGTCGTCTGGATAACAAGAGATCAACGCAGGCGTCCCCCAGGGGTTACTACCCTCTTTTTGATCTACATAAATGATCTGCTTAAGAATATACTCAGATCTTTTGTAAACATCTATGCCGATGATATGACTATATATGGGCGCACCGCTAAAACTCTCGATGATCAGAGGTTGGCAACTGAACTCTTTACCGATCTCGCACAAACTACCCAATGGGGTAAAAACTGGCTGGTTGCATTCACATTTACATTCTATCATCGCTGATCTGACCCCGAACTACCACTAATCAGGATGAATGAAGATCCTCTCGGGGAAGCACCGTGGCTACGATCCATTGCTAAGGGTGCAGGTAAAATGGTCGGCTCTCTGTAGCGCTCTAGTAAATACCTGACTCCTCCTGCTACCCTCTACCTTTACAAGAGCCAGATCAGGCCAAAAATGGAGTACTGTTGTCATATTTGGACGGGAGCTGCCCAGATCTCTCTCGATCTCTCTCTCTCTCTCTCTCTCGCTTGCTCGCGCGCGTGCGCGCACAAAGTTCAAAATCGTCTCCGAGTCCTCTCTACCCTTCAACCTCTCTTCTATAAGCGGGATGTGGAAAGCCTCTGGCTACTCTACTGCTACTTACACGGAAAGTGCTCGGATGAGCTACATTCCCTGGTCCCGCCGAAGCAAACCTTCTCAGTAAGAACACGCCACGCCACTTACATAATAGAAAACCACCCACGTTCCCTCCGTATCCCACCGGTGAGAAGTAGATTCCTCTCGAGCAGCTTTTTCTTGTGAAACCTAATCCCAACTGGGTGTTTCCCCGATCACTACAATCTTAACCTGTTCAACGCTAGTGTTAACTGTTATCTTCCACTCCTATACGCACAAATAAACTCCACGTGTAATCCTCTATCTCGAGTGGTCCTCGGGCCTTGTAAAGGGTGAACCTCATTGTAAAAAAAATTAAAGATTTTGAAAACTCTTGAAGCGCACAGACATTTTAGTTTCTGTTTAGTTAGCTTTTTCCTGTTTGTTATTGAAATGTAAAATAATATAGTTCGGGCACATTACCAACGCCAAAGAATAAGATGTGGTGGAATGTAATTCTTTAGAAAAACAAATGTTTTATAAAAAGCCATGTACATAGCCGCCTGATACACAGCCGATCTTTAGGAGTAGTTGCTAAGAAACGCTTAAGTAAGAAAAAAAAATATTTACATTTTTGTAAATGGAAAAGAATTTATTTAACAGCTGTGATATATCTAAATCTAATCTATTATTTTTCTCTTGTCGTATTACTGCGTCTTGAAGACTGGATAGTTGATATAAGATTTTGTCATATCCAATATTGTTCGGACACTTAAATCTATTTTTTCTATAATTACTGTTCTAACAGAACATTTCAGTCGAACCATTCTTCAATCCTTGTCAAACGCTATCCATGGGAACAAAAGAAATATTCTTCCAGAAAAAAAAAAGACTAGCAAATGGAAGTAGTTTTTTTTTTCTTAAATAAACTTTTTTTTTCATAATCACTTTTTCATTCTATCAAACATGTCGTAATGCATATTCAAGTCTGGTTTATTCTTTCAAGTTTTGATATGTTTAGTAGCCGGAGAATAAGCTCTCAGTCTAAATTCATTTAATCATCGGGACACTACAGCAGCTCGATTCTTTGTTGAGAATAGCTTCAATCTGCTTTGAAATTCTTACTACAAATGTTGAAGTGATCAATCATGGCATTTATTTTAATTAGCCTGCCTTCACTAAACCTTGTCTTTTGAGTTCGAGTGGCTTTTTTGTGAAAACGCTTCTTTTTTTTTTTTTTTTTTTTTTTTTTTTGTCATACATTTCCCAAACTGACAAAATTACACTATTGGAGCAGTCCAATTTAGTCTTCATCTTGACAATTTGTTCTTGGTGGACTAGTCATTTTGATATGTTCTAGTACACCTGGCAACTGATGTAGCACTAAAAACACTGATACTTATCGTTTAGTGAGATCAATATTGCTATATGCTTGTGTAAATATTCTACAGGGTAACACAAAACTCCCTTTATTTTGTTTGCTGTATATTATTCAAATAAAGGTTTGTCTTGAATAACTTTTTTTCTCTATCCACCTTCGGTAAAAGCCTTTTGTATCTGAAGCTACGATTTCTACAAATTTCAACGTTTTGTGGCAGTTACTATTACAGTGTAACCCGGGTATAAGAGACCCGGATATAAGAGAAACCCGGATATAAGAGAGATTTTCTCTGGTCCCAAATTAGAGCCTGTGTTAATGTATATAAATTAGACCAAACCCGGATATAAGAGAAACCCGGATATAAGAGACTTCTTCTCCGGTCCCGACGACTCTCTTATATCCGGGTTACACTGTAATAAGAA